GGAGTCTCATACACACGCCTCGTCTCGGCTCTCCTGTGGATATATAACTTTTTGAAAAATCATCACCGCACATTTTGCCTCGCCTTGATCATCCGCTTTAGTGTTGGCAGCCAGAAGTTCCCTTCGTCCCATTCGCTGGTCGTCAGAAGTATCTGTTTGAGTGTTCAAAAAAAAACACCGACTCTGTTATACACCAAATAGCAAGGAAGAACCAGAGATCATCATCAATCCACCAACTTATTACCTGTAATTGAAGGGCTGCACCAAAGTCATGGTTGTCCAGAGCTTGGCAGAGCTGTGCGAGTTTGTCCGCAGCATTCTTGGAGATGTCTCCGCTATTGAGTTTCACAAACAGAGCACCTAATTTTACTGAGTTGTCTTCTATCTCACGCTTCTTGACAGGTTTTGCACGTGCGCCTCCCAGAGCTTCCGATGTCTCATTGAAAAGCCTTGTCAGCGTTGCTATCACAGGTTTCTGGTTGGCTGGATCAGTTTACAAACAGGTGATCAATCATTTGACTTTTGGTCAGAATCAAACACAGACAGACAAATGGTGCTACTGTCACATTGTACAAATACCTGGAACGTTGGAAGTATCTGCAGTCTGAACAGTTGGTGGCGGAGCTGCAGGCGTAGGGGCTGCCTGACTAGGCGCCTGCTGTGTTGGAGGACTTGCTGGTTGCACAGGACCTAAAGCAGATCTTGGAACAACTCCCTGGGTTTGCATGGGCGTAAATGTTGATGGAGCAACAACTTGGGGCATCTTGGGGTTGGGATATTGTACTTGAGAAGGGCCAGGAGATGCATATGGACCAGGTCCGGGGGGAGCAGGGTATGGATTGTTAGATGGTCCCTGATGATATATCTGTTAGCTTAGTTGAACTTATAAAGTGCAGGCAACATCAAACACAATCGAGTTTAAAAGTCCACATACATTGAATGAATGAGGAGTAATGGTTGGCTGCTGATATTGATCTGCATTCTTCAGTGCATGGGGAGTTGAAGGAACAAAAGTAGTTCTGGACTGCTGAGGATTGCTTGCGGGAGCTGGAGGAAACGATGGCTGCATATACACACCATAGTCAACAGTTAGCCCAGATACGTAAAATCCATCTAATATTTTGACTCAGAAATCACACAGAAGAAGAGACTAGGCATTTCGGTATCACATACATATTTCAGATATTGTCCTATCTCAAAAAACTTGACCAAGACCCTATACAAAACATAAACGGAAAATCTCCTGATCTAGACATATGGAACTGCTAGATAAGGAAGATCATTAATGCATGATAGTGTAAGGAAAGAATGAGAAAAAGAAAATGCAGCAAAGCCAAGATTTCAGAAACCTGCAGAGCTGGCTGAGCTTGGTGAGGCATAAACATGGTAGGTTGCGGCATGGGTGGATGTGAAGCTGGAGGGACATATACTTGATTATAAGAATCAGTGTATGGTTGTTGTTGTTGATACTGATTATCATATGGGTTAACAAGAACGTTTGGTTGCGCCTGAGTTGGCTCCTAATCCCACAGAAGAATAAAGGCAAGATTTGTTATCCGTATTAGCTAAATGGATTCCAGAGATCTATAAGTTTCCACTTTAAAAATAGTTGCTCAAAGTCCCAAAAACAAAACCTGACTATATGGCATGGTAATTTGAGGCTGAGTGTTGTCTGAAGCTGCAGGGTTAGTCTCTGCAGATGCAATATAAAATGATAAGCTAATTTTATCATCAGAACTCTATTAAAAATAATCAAAATACAACTGCTTACGCACCAGGTTCTGCAGACAGAGAAATACGATCACGTAATATAGAAAGTTCAGGTGACAAGCCACCAGAATCCAGAACTTTCAAGTACTTCATTGCCGTTGTAAGAAGCCCTTGGCTGGCCAATATCTCGGCATAACTCTCAAAGAGTTTACATAGAGATGCACTGAACCTTTTGTTGCCAGTTGCCAAAGCAAGGACAAGAGTCTTCTCCATAAGATCCTATTAAAAAAAAAGGGCACAAGAATATGAGCAGATAAGTCCAACTAAATTTATGCACAAAACACAGAAAGTGATACACACCTGAAGAAGCTCAGCATAAGATCTTCCGTCACGCTCATTCGCAAGGCTCCTCGACCAAATTTCTACTGTTCTGTCAACATTGCATGCGCAAATGTAGCACAGAACTGCAGCCAAAGTGTTACCAGCAGCCATCAACTTTGAGGCAAGGACATCGCACAGGCTGGTCCATTGTTCTCCTTGTGCAAACTGTTTGCCAATGATAGAGCAGCATTCATTACAAAGCAGTTTTATAGTGACCAAAAACCGTAGCCGTTGCAGGCATCATGTCACACTGACAAATAGTTCATCTCGCTTCATGAGTCAACGGATATAACATATCACATTACAATGTTAAAAGATCTAAAGTGATAGTGGAAGATATTTTGGTAGTGTAAGACATGAGAAGGCAGATCCATTTTCATTTATGATTACTGGAATGTTTTATAAACGATGATTCCCCAGTTTGAAAAACTTACAGTACAAAGGAGAGCAAGAGTTTCCTTCCAGAACTTAAGTGACCTTGTATGGACAAAGCTCGTGAGATCGTTGTTCACCATCGCAGAAACAACCTGAAACAGATTAACATACAGTAGTTTAGAGATTTTGTGACCACAAACAAGGATGCAGAATGGCCTTAATCGACATATCAAGTTGGAAAGGAAAATACAAATACCTTCATGTAAGGTGCACTGCTTGTCTTCAAATATTTCTCACGAGTACTCTCCCACAATGCTGTACCACCAACATGAGCAATAACTAAAGCATCGGCCATCTTATTTGCAGATATACACTGATCAACCGCTTCCTTGTAATCTCCAACAACCAAAGCACGCTGGATGGCATCATCAAATACTGGGTCAACGCTTTCTTCCTCTTCTTCTGGCATTTCTTGAGTTTCTTCTACCTTGGCATCAAAATCTGTGTCAGGAGGCATAAAATCTTTGGCAGATGTAGATACAGGTGTATCCGGTTTAGCAGGAAAGTTGTTAAAGAAGTCTTCTCCATTGTCCATAGCAAATGCAGCTGCCTCGTTACTGTCCTCAGGCTCCGGTGCATTCGTGGCAGTATCCTCTAATCCAATGCCATCCAGATTTGACGAGAGCTCACTTACTGCCTGATCCTTTTCACCAGAAGGCAAACTAAAACCAAGATGGCTGATCAACTTTGTTCTTGGCGTTCCTTCCTCTTCGAACATAATTTTCAGCAAGCCCCATGTCTCCTTCTCCTCTTTGGATCTGCGAAATCAGTGAATTGAAACAGAACAAACCTTAGTTGTCTGATGAGTTTGGTAAGTGTGAATATGAACGTTATCAATCATGAGGATGGCATACTCAGTCTCTTCAGATTTCTTCTCACACAAACCCCTTAGAGAAGTCTTATCTCCATTTTCTATTGCAGCTTCAAATTCAGAAGTTCGACTCACCAAACTCTGTTCTGTGACCAGGCTGTGCAAAAAAGCCTGAACATGACATTTAGTCAAATAAGAATCGACAAAGAAAGGGTATAACATAAGACAGTACCATCCCTGAATAACTACCTCAGATTGAATGCTCGAAGCACCCTTTGAAGGGGCCTTTGCGTGAAACGACACAAGCTTTCCCCCAAATCCAAAAGATGCACCAACCGGGCGTTTACACCACTTTGGTGCTTTTAAAGGAGCTGCATAAAAAGGATTATAAGAAGTGATGTTGGTTCTGATGCCTCCAGCACAGGAATGAAAAAAACCAATCAACGGTACGCAAATTGTTCAGAATGGTTGAATGACATTACCAGTACCATAATTATTCTCCTCCGCACCATAGCGACTGCAACCCTGCACCAAAAGGATCGAATGCATATTTCTTTTTAGTTTATTCTTGGTGGGGAAAAGGGTGATCTAGAGTCCAACAAGTCTTGTTAATGAGGTATTCTCAAATGGAAAGTGCCTATGATTAAACCCTAAAACATTTTAACTCCAGTAGAACAACAAACTGGGGATCCGAAATCTAAATAAATTATGAGAAAGAAAAACAGTCCCTAGGGCTGGATTCACAGG